TGTGGTGTGTGTCTGTGTGTGTGTGTGTGTGTCTGTGGTGTGTGTGTGTGTGTGTGTGTGTAGTAACCCATTATAAACATGCATTTATGTGTTATGTATATCCATATCTATCTGTTTCCACAACCAAACACCAGTCCCTATTGCTTCATCTGGAAGTTTTTAAACAAGGGCTGTGTGACTCCAGCTTTGCCTGTATACAATCCATTCCACAGCTGGTTACCCTCACTCTTTCTTTCTTTCTTTCTTTCTTTCTTTCTTCTTTCTTTCTTTCTTTCTTTCTTTCTTTCTCTCTCTCTCTCATTGTTGTTGCTGTTTGTTTATTGAGATAGGGTTTTTTTGTGTAGTCCTGGCTATCTTGTAGACCAGGGTGGCCTCAAACTCAGAGATCCACCTGCCTCTGCCTCCCAAGTACTGGGATTAAAGTCATGCACCACCACTGCCCCGCTGCAACATTTCTCGTCAGACTTGCTGATCACGGCCATCCTGACTGAGGTGAGCTGGTATCTCAACATAGTTTTATTTTTCATTTCCCTTTTGGCTCAGCATATTGAACACTTTAAAAAAAGAGTTATTGTCCTTTTGTATTTCTCTTTCTCTCTCCTTCCCTTCCTTCATCCCCCCCCCTCTCTCTCTCTCTCTCTCTCTCTCTCTCTCCTGTCTATTCAGTTCCTTTGCTCATTTGTTGATTGGCAGTTTTGCCTCATTGGTATTTAGTTTCTGCAATTCTTTGTAAATTCCGGATAGTAGTCCCTCATCTGGAATGTGGTGGTATACATTTTCTCCCACACTATTTATTAACTCTGCAGATCCCTTCGCTGTCCAGAACTTTTTATTTTCATGCGGTCTCAATGGTTGATATTTGGGGTTCGTTCCTATGTTGTTGATGTTCTATTCAAAAAGATCTTGCTTACCCAAGTATCTTGTTTTCTTTTTAAAAGTTTCTGTATTTCTGGTTATAAATTAAAGTCTTTGATCAATTTGAACTTATTTTTTTTGTGCAAGGTGAAATATACAAATCTAATTTCACCCTTCTGCAGGCAGAAGTCCAGTTTTGCTAGCAGCATATGTTGAATAGGCTTACCTTTTGTCCAGTGTATGATTTTTGTCTTCTGTGTCAAAAAACTGAGCTGTTGCTTAGTGTCTGTTGCTTTCTACATTCTTTTATCACAGCAGCGACTAAGGCAGCTTCCTCTTCAGAAGCTGAAATAAACTCCTCTCTCCTTTTAGTTGCAACAGAAATGAAACTAGAACAGAATGGAATCTCAGCCTTGTCTGTGGAGAAAGGCTGGCTACTAGGGAAGGTAGCTGTGGGGATCCAACTCTAACCTTTTGGCCATGAGTGTTAAGGCGTAGGAAGACGGAACTACAATTCCCAGGATACCACTCGGCCAATGTATCGCTTTGCTCCACCCTCTGACCATGCTCCTTGGACTGGCAGTCTGTCTGTATAAAAACGCGGAGCGGCCCAGCGGTGCGCAGAGCTGTGGTGGCGCAGCATGCGCACTGTTTTCTTCGCTTTGGGGTGGACGCTGTCTGGGCACCTCCAGGGCTTTCCTGCCTCGTGAACGTCCTCCCTGTGCCGCCCGATCCCCGCGGACCTACAAACCCCGAGGCCTCGATGGGATATTCTGGATTCTCCGGAGGGTTTTTTTCTAGCGCAGACTGGGTGTTTGTGCTGTCGATGCTCACAGAAGAAAGGCGCAGAGCTGTGCTAGGAGACTGGATGCGCCCGTCAGAGTCCTCTGCGGCCCTCTCCCTCAGCTCTTGGCGCAGGTCCGCTCCCGGGGACCGCGCTGAAGCCTCCGGGGAGTCCGGGCGCATGGTCTACGCTCTACCTACGCGGGTCCTCGGCGCGATAGCGGCGCTTTGGCTTCGGGCGCTGGATGGTCAGGGAGAAAGAGGTGAGGGCGCCGGATTTTCTAACATGGATTACTTGGTGCTTATCAACTGGATTTAGAAGGCCCAGGACCTCGTCTCCATCATCCATGGTTGTCTTTTCATCTCCCAGCTGCCCTCCCACCTGGAGGTAAGTTTCACTGCGGCGTGAGGTTGTGAATTTGATTTGCCTACCTCCTCCCGCCCCCCTTGTGTTGCTTTAAGGTTTCAGCATTGGAATTTTTGTTCTAGTTGACCTCTCGGGGGTCATTGTAGCAACTCCTTTGCCTTCAGGTGGAACCCACTAGCTCAGATCTCTGTAGGTAGCGGCCGTTCTGGGTCATCGTCCTTTAGCCTCAGGCGTGTCGAAGCCTTTGATTACCCAGACTTAACGGAGGAAGGGCCTGCTTTCTTGGCACTTGCCTTTTCTCGGGGTTGGGCCTTTGGGATCCTTTGCTTTGCGAACTGTCCAGGCAGCTGCCCATTTCATGCAGCGGGCTTCCGAGGAACAGTGTTTGTAAGAGGCCACAGGGCCTGGGTAGCGGCGGGGGCGCTGGGTGGGTACTGCATTATTTGGAAGATTGGGTTGCTGTGGAGCTGTTGAAGGGATGGATATTGGCCACCCTGCGAGCATGCTTTCTGGGTGGAAAGACGGATAAATTTGGTACCGTGTGTACACCCGCTACATTCCTCCTTTTTGTGCAGTGTGTATCATGAAGAGGACTTTTGGCTTAGGTCTTGAGACGTAATTGTAAATGAAATGAACCTGTGCCCATTAGCTTTCTCCTCTCTTTGTCCACTTGTGATTGCGTTGTTGTGGGGAGGTTGGTACCTGTCACCATATAGCCTAAGAGTAGGTGTTGATTGAATGAATGACTGAACTACCCCACCCTAAATTACACCAGATTCTTCTATTTCTTTCTCTCTTTGGCTGTCACCCTTCATTCCAGAACCTTACCCCCTGGAGGTGGTCTCCTGGGGACAAGTTCCCAGATTGGGGATACCTCTGTCCTTCTCCACCCATCCTTGTCTGCAGTTTTTAGGCTTTCTTTTGGAACCTGTGCATGGTGACCCATTTTCCACCCAGAACTCCCCCCAACATAGGAAGCTGCCAAGTCCAGGATTGACTTTGGTAAGTGCCTGGAGGCCCACAGCTCTCAGTCAACACCTGCTTAGGAGGGAGGGCTAGGCAGCACAAGGAAAACAAGACGATTTTTTGGGAAGAGGAATTTTCTGGGGTCCTGCTGCCTCTAGCTCCACCCAGATCCTTGCATATATTGCCCAGTATGGTTCCCTAGTGGCCATCCTTCCCCCGCCCGGTTCTCTGCCTCACTCTGACCCTAGGAGAGGCACTTTGGAGACTTTCTCAATGACCAAGGATGGACAGCATACCTCTTCCCCACCCATTCTCCCCTTCTCTGTACTACAGGAAGTAATAATAAACAAAGTTGCAGTTGGTAGAAAAACATCCAGTTACCATGATGCTGGGAACTGCACCCATTTCCCCACTGCTGCAACCCACAATATTCATGACTTTGTCTCCTGCTCATGTGTCCCCCCCATCCTGACTCTGTAGTACTGCTATATTCTCCTGCAGCCACCAAGCAACCATTTGCTTGATATTTCAGTCTCCTGTTGGATGCTTAGGTATTTCCAAACTTACAACAACGATGGTGAGCTGGTGAGGGCCCCTTAGTATGTGTCTCTCTACATTTGGGAGGATGTTCCTAGAGAAGTGTCTGGAAATTGTCCTATTTAAGTCAGTCACTAGAAGAGCAATTCCAGTGGAAGACATTTCAGAGAGGGTTTGGAGGCAAAGGGTGCCACTCCTCTCTTACACAGCTTTTATTTTAGGGAGAGGACAAGGAGTTTTGGGGCTAAAATGTAACATAGGCAGTTGAGTGGATACAAAGCTTGCTCCCTTCCCAAGAGTGGCTTAACACTTCGGGGGCAGTTCGCTTGAAATGTTCCTTAAAACTGTGATGGCAGTTGCTTCAGTGACACTAGATCCATGGGCACCAGGCAGCAAGGTTGAAAATGCCGCCTCTTCTTTAAAGCTAACTTTAGAACTTAGCACGGACCTAGATAGGTAGGAAAGTTGCAAATACAGCCCCTCATGTCTCCTTTCCCCACATCTGTCAACATCTGGCACACACTATGGGGCGGTGCTCAGGCCCTAGGATACCATCAAGGACCCAGGGCTTCTAACTCAGTCACAGGCCTTGTGTCGACTCCTCTCAGTTATCACAGGCATTCTTCCTTGGACCCAGGATCGAATCCTGAGTGCCACAGAAGTCATCTTGTAAAAATGGAGGCCGAGGGAGCACAACGGGTGGCCGTTCCCAGAAGCCCTGGTATTGAGAGGTTGCCCTCCACCTCCTATCCATGGTCACTCGTCCATCCTGTCTGACAGCTGCCGAACAAGATCAACACCCCCTTCCCGAGGACCTCTTGGGAGGCCCTGACCCTAAGTGGGAGAATCATTTCTCTGTCCCCTGCTCCACCAAACTTCCACCAGGCATGTTGTTGAGTGAAAATTGGGTTCTGACCAGATCTGTCTCAACATGTTTCTGGAGCCAGGAGAGAGATAACATCCGGTGTGCGTGAGAGGAGCTGCCGAGCAGCCTGCTCCACGGTTGAGAAGTACCTGGTGCAGTGCTTGCGCAGTGACTCACAACACAGGAGTGGCAGGTGTGTCAGGTCCCCCGCTGCAGACCTAGCCCAGGCTGCATTTCCTGGTCACCTGGACAGAGCTAAAGGGACTGGCAGCCTTGCGCCCACCTCTGAGTGAATTGAGGGAGTTCTGGGTAAGGGAACTCTGTCTTCCCCTAAGAGTATAGAGGACTTTGGGAGGGCTTTGGTGTGAGGGAAGCCAGCATGAAGGATATTGGTGTGTGTGTGGGGCTCTGGGGTGAGGGGAGCCAGCATGCAGGCTGACCAGAGACCTTCACATACAAGAACGCATATGAGAAGAACGTTGACTCTTGGCCAGCGGAAGCCAGACCAAGATCTTTTTCTCTTTCTCCAGAAAGCCTCCCTGGCATGCTTGCCCCACACATCTGTACCACCTGGACACAGAGGCTCCATGAGTCTAAGCCTTGGACCCACAATATGTGTCGATCAGGGCTGCCTGCTTCTAGCATCACTTGGCCGTTTCCAGCGTGGTCTGGCCGGCTGCACGGAGCATAGATAGATTACGTTTATGTGAGGTTCTGCAGTTTGGAGGTTTCTTCAGTCTCAGAAGAACACACTTCTAAAGCCTGGATATCCAGCCTTAATATTTCTTTGAGCACCCTAACCCTCCCCATCACCTGCTTGCTGGTTTTTTTTTTTGTTTGTTTTTTTTTTTGTTTTTTGTTTTTTTTTGAGAAAGGGTCTCATTCTGTATCCCAGGGAGGACTTGACCTTGAAATAATCCCCCTGCCTCAGCTTTCCAGGTGCTTAGATTAAAGATGAGAGTCAACCCACCCAGTTACACTGTGGTTTGTAATCCAAGAAATCTTCAATCTGCTACCTCTCTCTCACTCCTTAGGCAGGCCCAAGCATTTTCTGTTACTAGCCCACTCCAGTGAGGGTTCATCACAGAAGTGTTAAGGGAGAGGGGCTGGGGTGTTAGGACTAATCAGCCTTGGGATGGACGCGGCGCTCCATAGCTGCTTTGTCTCTCTCTCCGGGGACTTATCCTTGAACCCCGCCCCACCCAAGTAGCCACAGTTCTTCCTGGATCAACCTGGTTCCAGTTCAGACTATCCCCTGGCCTTCCACAAGCTGAAGGCAGAGAATGAATGGCTTGGAGAACTTGCTTAACACTGTCCTCGCTTACCCCAGCTTTGTTCCCTTTTGATTTGCGTGGGGCTCTCGGAAGGCAGCTTGGTGCCCTGCCTTTCTAATATGCTCACCAGGCTATTGTACTGGAGACACCACAAGGATGAGGTTACTCATTCTTGGCCAGCGAGAGCCCAAATCCAGCCTCTCCCCTGCTGAAGTGTCCTGGCCATGAAGCCCATTTGCATCTCCTCCTCCAGGCAACCTCTGTGGCGTCCCTTCACTTACACGGGGGACTCATTTGCTTGTGTCATTTGTTGGTACACTTTTTCATGGAGACTTCTCAAATTCAGGTGTCTTTTGTCCTGAATGAGACAGTTGTGCTGTGGGTGGGTTTGTAACAAAGGAAGCACTTTTGTGGGCTGCAGGAATGCATTTGATCTGCAGTCCTTCTCCCATGTGAGGCCCTGGAAGCTTGGAAGATGTAAGTAGCTTTGTACAGGTGTTCACACAGACTGCTGTGACCTCTGTTATGACCACAGCATCCTAGTCAACATTAGTATCGCCATGGAGCCAGTGGCATCTTCCATACCAAATTACTCTTTTGACATTGGGACAGGTCCTCCCTGACGAAGCCCAGGCTGGCCCTGAATATAATACCACCCTCTTGCCTCTGCCTCCCAGTGCTGAGATTACAGGCATGAGCCCCCACACCCAGCTAGCAGCCCCACACTGAGAGAACAAGAAGATGGGGTTTGACCCCCTTCAGTTAGGCCACTGGCTAAGGACACCATGTTCAAAATCCCTCAAGCTCCTTGGCTTTGTAGACTGAGATTGTGATATGGCTGGGGGGGGGTGGGGGGGGGGGGGGGGGGGGGGGGGGGGGGGGGGGGTCCTATACAATACCACTCCTGTTTGATTCTATGAGAGCCCCAAAGCCCAGAGGAATCCTGCAACCTGCAAGAATGCTGAAGTAGCAAGTTTCCATCCAAGAATTCTTTTTTCTGTATGTGAATCATCACCTCCTCCCTTATTTGGTTTGTTGCTACAGGTTTTTGCATGGAAGTCTCGAAGCCAGGTGCTTTTGTGTGTGGTTAGACAGAAGTGGCTGTGTTTGGGGGAGCACAGAAGAGGGCTATGGCTCTGTAACCCTAGAAATAGATCAGCCCGCGTCACTCTGTGATCCCACCTAGCCCAGCAGCGTAGAGGAAGCTCATCTTTTAGCACCTTTAGCATCCATTTCTTTGGCCTAACAAGTGGGTCCCTGACCTCATTTACTGTGATTAGTTTGTTTTCCTTTGCTTTCACTGGACTGAGAAGTCTGTCTGGGTAGGTAAGGATGGGAGGCTTAACCTTGTCTGCCCTCCAGTTCCATCCGGCATGCTT